GCAAGTGCAAAAGGGCGAAATTAACACGGGGCAAAAATAACCCCGTATACAGTAAATCGCACCAATGCAGTTTATAAATATGTTAAGAATAATGCACTTAAACAGGTACAAAGGACATGTTACAAAGATTTTGCATTTAGGCATTGAGCAAATTACCTTACAGTTATTCATTTACCAGACCAACGTTTTTTTTTTTTTTTCAAGCCTTATTGTAGCGTTTGTACATTCTTCCTTCACAACAAAATTGAATTATTTCCTTATACATGTAACATGTGACGTTCAATTATAAGGGTCAGGTAATATAAAGGTGCGTTTCTATTTTCTGATAAAATGAAGAAAATCGTTGATTCGTAATTCTAAACAAAAGAGGTATAATGATGTAAAATATTTATAACCATTTCAACTTGGGAAAGGTAAATATTTGTTTTTCGGCTTGAAAGATTAAAGAAATGAAGCTTATTTCAACTTATGTTTTATGATATACATTTGTAACATAACTTGGGGCAGTTTACGCTTTGCGGTTTATAAGAAAGCGTAAACTGCCCTAAGTTTTGTTATATCGGATAACATAAGTTGAAATAAGCTCTATTCCTTATAATTTAATTTCAGGGTAGACAACTAAACAATATGATGTAGGCAAGTTATGTTATACAAAATGGATAAAACCGTTTAACAAATCAAATGACGAGTTCCAATTAAAATTGAATTATTAGATTATATATCTACCAAGAAAGTTGGACCATTACAAAGTGAGATTGGACAATTTCTTTCTGTGTCATTCATTAGTTTGAATTAGAGATTGATTTTTAAGGTATAATATTGAAGTAACTGATATCTTAATCTATACCTAGATAAGACTAGGATTATCTACCATTAACAACAATTGATCTTTGTATTGCCCTATTGCATAACGAAAATCATTTGAAAATACGTAATCAATGAATCTTTTTTTAGACTTAAAATTAATAATTGGTTTGGTGAAATTCAGGTTCTTTCAATCTTTACTAACTCAAAATGCATTTATTTGTGTAGCAGAATGCTGGATATCTTTCCCCGCAGAACTCAGAAATGTGTATAAGACATCCCTGTAGAACACCTAAAATGTATTTCTCATGTATCACTCGCATCTTGCAGTGTTAAGAGTCTACTTCAGAGTCGCTAAAAAAGGAGGTAAGGAGTGTTCCTTTACGTCTCGGGTTCGAATCCCACTTTGAGATGTGTAGACTGGTTCTTTGGATTCGAGAGTATTAACCAATGTCCCGTGTTGCAGTGGATGTTGGCACGAAAAAGACCCCTCCCTGCTCAATGGCCATAAGGGACAAATATAGGCATTTACAGCTCTTCAGCGCCAAGTGATGACGTTTAAATATGATGAATATCATACAACAAACAAACAAAAACATTTGTCATCTGACATTCAGAAAAGGTGAGAAATTGGTTCAGTGGAGAGAGGAGTAAACAATATTTCTTTTCAAATTCAAGTTATTTAATATATCTACTGTAGACATTTACAAAATAAAAATTCAATATTAAAAATATTCATTTGTCCTTGCCTTTTCCCGTTAATTCTTCCTTGCACACCTTAGCAGTGATATGTACTTGATTTATAAAATGAACTTTCTTATGTTACTTAATGTCTTCATATTATACATGTAGTTAGACCATGTGAACAGCATAAAAAAGCTGAAACTGGGCGATTATGTAACATTGCACCGCGTGGTATTACACACTATGTTATACGGTGGAGTTATAGCAATAAACCGAGAGAAAAATGAGTTCAAAGTTGTTCAAATGACCAAAAAGAGAGGAAAAAATCCAAAGATAGTACTGTAAAGAAAAACAGAAAAGATGACAAAGTTAAGAAAGTTTTCCCTTGAGGTCTGTCGCTACATTATAATGGCGTTTAACAAAATAATTCTGATTTAAGAATCCTCTCATTGTGGCTTCTCTTGCGATGAAGAATACCATATAGTACGCTTTGTTCTTATATAAATTTTAGTATGTTGTTGTTTTCGGTGCGATTGGATATCCATACACTGAAAAGGTTGCAGAATTTTGAGAAGACTTGAGGATTGCAGACCAAGTAGAAATGAGCCAACATTCACTGTTTGTGGGTATAACTGATGAGGTTCCTGAAGAAATTGAGGCAAGTGTTCTCAAATTTTGCATCGTGAGCATTTTAAATTGTTTTCCTTAAATTCTTTATTGGAGTGTATGTTTCCAAAAATATCAATATATTCATGCACATATTTTTTTTGATATATTTTTTGTTTAAATTTAAATCTTAAAATAAAGCATTGACACAATTAAAGATTGTGATTTTGCTTTGTTTTTTTTTTACTGCGTCATGAACAGAAATAATATTTCGTGATTGAAGATAAATTAATGTAAAGTTTCAAAGAGGATAAAAAATAGACAAAGAATAAAAACAAAAATGCTTCCTAAGTAAGAATATTAAGTCTCTATATATAAAGAATTATGCTTAAAATCATTCTATTGTGACGAATGTCATTTGAACATCATTTATTCAAATTGTTTTACTCCATCAAAATGAAACAACAAAATAATACTCTGTTTACGTTTAATTCTTGTAACATTCAACCATATACAAAACCCGTGAAGAAAAAAAGTTTTTAACATGTTTTGTTTGATATGATTAAATTTTTTTTTTCATAAAAGTTGAAAAAAAAAACGGCTTCCCAGTGAAATATCAAAGGGCTAACAGAAATTTACACTAAAAATATACAATTTATAAATGAAAAATAAGAGTATAACATTTATCATGAATAAAATTAGTATAAAGATAGCTATGGTATCTATTGTAATTTTATGAATTTTGATTGCATTGGACAATCATAGTGGAAAAAGATAAGATAATATTTATTTAAAGTCGGGTACATCAACAAAGAACATTAGCTCTGAAGAGCTATTTTCCGACTACATAATAATGTTACATAAAATACAACAATCATACATAATAAACAAGAACAGTTTTTAAAAATCACATCACACTACTGAAATATCACTATTCCTTCGTGGTGCTTTACAATGCCATAGTATTCACCACATTAAAACTAACAAACCGAAAATAACTTTGTTTACTAGTTTCTAAAAATAAAATTAGCGACAGGCACAGCAATTACATCAATTTCCGTACCAACTATTTATGTTGGCTTTAAACTGGTTAAAAGAAGTAATATTTCTAAAAGATTCTGGTAAAGAATTCCAAAGTTTTGCAGACTCACATCTAAAATACTTCAACCTATGTATTGTTGTTCTTGTTTTTGATAAAACTGCAGTTTTCGTGTATCTAAAAGAATAAGGTGTTTCTTTAATATGAATAAAATCATGCAGCTAAGACGGGCTTTGTTTGTTTAAAATCTTAAAACATTCTATGGCCATTGTTCTAATATGCCTGAGTTTGAGGCATGGTAATTTTAATTTGTCCAGAAGATAACTGTATGAATTTTTGTAATCATCATAAACAAACGGCAGTGCTCTTTCCAGTATTTTTTTTACATTTCTCTTGTTTTTCGTTCACCACAAAAATGCCAAACTAATGGACAGTAGTTGAAGTTTGACACGATAAATGTATGATAAATGGTTAGTTTTCCTAATTTGGTCAGGTGTACCCCTATTCTTTGAAGTACATTTAGTTATTGTGACGCTTTTTTTTTTTTTACAAATGTTTGAAATATGAGAGCTAAACTTAAGCTCAAAATCTATAGTAACACTGAGTAATTTTACTTCGTTTTCCGGATGAATCATATTACCATCAATTTCAGTTTTCTTCTCAAGACATATAATTTGAACTTTATCAGGATTTGCTTGCATTTGATTATCTCCAAACCACTTAACTTAGTTCGAACAATTTGATTCCAAAGTATTTTAGTGATGTAATATCATCACTTGAGTTTGAGAGAGTGTTGTCATCGGCATAGTTGTAGAGATCACAATTTGACACAAAATGAAAAATATTATTGATAAGAATATTAAAAATAACAGGACCACGTATTGAACCGTGTGGAACACCTTTGTACAATTCTAAGCAATCGCTACAGACCCCCCCCCCCCGTTTCACACACTGTTTTCGATTGCTTAAATTGCTTGAGATAATACTAGTAGCTGCATTTGTAAAACCGTATGCATTAAATGCTTTTCATAAATCCATCATTATTGCTGCTGTAGTGTAGTTATACTGAATATGCTTATATATAATTTTTCAGAAATTGAGACAGGAAATAGATATTCCTTGACTGTTTATATGGCCTTTTATGTGAACCCGTTATAAAAAAAGAAACATACAAGATAATCTATATGGAAACTTAACGCATCATTAAAGCATAGATACTTCAGTAAAACGTTTGTACACAAATAGAATACTTATTAAATTGTTGATGAATATCTTTAGAAATTTAGAATAAAGCAACGTTTAAAACAGAACGATTTTGGAAGTGTTTAAGTGCTTTACAGTTTTTCAACGCTAAATGCAATATCAAGCTAAATATATTAAACTGGGATTGTTAAATGTTGTTTTATTGTATTTTTCGTCGAGATCAAGATAAAATGTAATGACGTACTTTTTGCGTTACATTGTGCATTATTTAAAGTGTATAAACTTTGTAACATCAATTCTAAAACTGCTTTAGATTAACAAAACTTTACAAATTTCCACTTCGGCAGTGTCTAAATGTAGATTGTAGCAAAAAAAAAAATTCTATTCAAATGAAATTACAATCGTCACATGTATTTTGATGTTAATCCATTATGTTACATGGAATTTGTAACAACAACTGTACAACCGCGAAAAATTAGCAGAATGATTTTTTTTTTATATTTTCTTATATTACAAGATAAATAAAGCGCAAGTAAATAAATTATAAAATAAATATCAATAAAGCAACTTGTTTTTGATTTTTTTTTCCTTGATTATACAAAAAACTATTTAAAAAAGAAAAAATAAAAATACTTAAATATGAACATAAATGGTAAATGCTGATTATTGTCAACAAAACAAATAAACAAGTATGCAAGAACTACTATTCGTATTGTGTAATTAGAAGCTTTCATAAGTCTGTAGATATCTTCAGCTGTAAACGTGTTATGAAAACACTGCTGCAACAAAATGTAACGTTCACTCCAACTCTGCACATGAAAAAGCTGTTTGTGTTGATATTATTATTACATTCTAAACAAAAAAAGTTTGCTACATGTAACTGCACTTTCTGATTAATCTTTTTCATTGATTGCAGTAAATACTTTCACTTGAATTTTGGATGTGATCACATACAGCTTTTATCACAAAGCGGTATTCCTCCTGAAAACAAATAAAATGTTAATCATCAAAAATTAAGATAGGATTATTCTCATATTTCTTGTATTTAAAACTCAATGAAATTTTCAAAGAATCAAGAAATCAGTATCAGTAAGTGATTGTATGAGTGAGATTAAATTTGACAGTTTTATATAAGGGACAAGGTCAAGTCAAGGCCATTATCTTTTTCTTGACATTAAGAATAAAAAAATACTGCTTCCAATACCGTGTTGCCTAATTCTATTTCAAAAGTTTAAAGACTGTTCTTTTTGCCTAAAAGATACTACTATATAGCATGATATTACCAAATTTACATAAATAATTTAACTAAACTGGATATCGGCTAATCCGAATTTTCTCTGTTTTTCTTAATTTTTTAGGATATATACAATGTAAGTTTTTTTTTCATAGGCTTCCTATATTTAACTTCTTCTTATTTTCACATATAATAAAGTAGTCTAGACTTATAAATGTACAAAATGGTACAAAAACAAAAGCTTTCGTTCGTTTAATTAGAGAGAAAAAATACTCTTTATGGATTTTGGCTCAAATCTGAACTTTGATGGGAAGCATTTAAAAGCCAACAAAGTTCTAGTTTGTTTGAGAAATCATATGTATTTGATATATTTTGAAAGTTTGGTCCCTTATTATTTATTAAACTTACATTTTAAAAATTTTCAGTCTTCTATTGTGTAAAAATTACAACTAAATTCATTGTTCTATTGTAATTTTGAGAGGCAGAAAAGAAGATATTTTCATACGCCACCATTCCGCCAAAAAATAGTCCTTGTTAGTTTTCAAACATTTCTATTTAATGTTGTACAATTCTGATGAGGAAAGAAAAATATGGTCCTTTAAATACCTTACATCTAAATATATAAGACATATAAGCAAATATACTTTGAATGTTTCATCTAGTAAGAAACCAGAGAAGAATCCTACCTTAAAAAAAGAATAAGATAACCAAAGACCAATTTTAGGGCTTGGATCAAGATGTCTTGTATAAAAATGTAAAAGTCCATCAAAATCTACTATTCCTAACGCCCATCACAAATATGGATATACACGATGGACAGCGACCCATCAACTGTCATAAACTTTTTTTAACTTTCATTTTTGTGATATTGAGACTTTGTACATATAACCTAGCGATTCATTTTCACTATTTGGCTTTCATTTGTTCAAAATTGCATTCTTATCTCAATTATCCCAGAAAAACTTTTGCACACAGTCTCATCTGTTTACACAAAAGTAGACTCCTTATAAATGATAAAAAATCTGATTCACACTACAAAAGATAAGGAAAGAGTCATTTTTTTAAGGATTATCTGATTTTCTGACTTACAATATTTGAACAGAACTCTGGTCTTCTAACTTGTAATTGTCTGACAGTTGTGAAGACGTCCACGCTGTTGTTCATCTTTATTTGTTGAATCGCGTTATGAACGGCACAGAAAACACCACATAGGACTGCACCGTCACTACAGACATTAAGGAAACGTAGTTAGAGATATCTCATAAACAAGTCCATTAAGTTTAATAATATGTATGTCTCTTCAGTTTATTTCGAAATCAAGAACAATTTTATAATTCACTAAACACTGTTCACACTTATATATCATAGAACTTAGCAACCATATTTGCATCCAGTGTTGAAGATTTCGTGTATTTTCTTTAATATTTGCTTATTTTCTATTGTTGTTTATATAAATAATATTTTTTATAAGCTAACAAACAATTATAGCTTTTTATATAATAAGCAGCTTTAAGTGCGAAAATTAATGACCTGCTGACAATTGTGATAGGATTTTCTGTCTCAGTGCGCAGTGTGGCAGAAACAAGACTCCGAAGTTGAGATGTGTCTAGAGGGGTTCCAGATGTTTTAATGCCGACCTTCGGTTCTATTATAGTCACGGGTTGAGCCTTCTTTTCTCTCTATTAAAATGTGCATACTTTTACATTTTTCTGTAAGTTGTTATAACTCACTTATACGTATTGAGAAAAAGATAATCAGAATTACTTACAATATCTGGTGGATAAGAAAAAAAACATATTAATGAAAACGAACATTGCTTGTTTTAATATATATAACCAAGTAAAACATGCTAACTTACATTTTTTTGGAGAATATGAACAATAGTGGTGTTGACGTCAATTTCGGATTTTGATTGAAATTGAACATTGAAAGGATTGACTGTTTTTGAGGAGGGTGTAAGGCAGGGAAACCACGCCTTACTCTAAAAATAAATTGCAAAAAAACATATATATATTCAGTATAGCATAAAATGTAGACATGGATGGCCAAGAAGCATGGTGTGCCTATAATAAGTTGCATCTCAATAATAGTTTGTGCAAGATATTAGAGAAATAACTTTTTTGTAGAACAATGTATTGTAAAGAATGCCTTCATGGTTTTAACTTTCATATTTTTAACAACGTCTTTACAAAAATAGAAGGCTTTTAAAACACAGTTTTAGCGAGAAAATAGAAATAAAGATTGGTTTTAGTTCATTTGATATCACAGACCGAGCCAATCTTGTTCAGAGGATCCATACAAACGATTGTGTCAGATTCATGATCACTGAGCAAGCGCAGGAAATCAACAGCATCCTCCTCAGCTGGATACTGCGTCACAATAAACGCTATATCATTGGTATGTGACTACAAAACAAGTTTAAAAAAATAGGTTTTGTCGATCAAAAACGATCTTTGTGAACATTTAGTTACTTTTTTTGGTCCAGAAGTCTACAAAATTGTGCATAATTGTATCCTGTATGCTATTTACAAAATTTATTGAAAATGTATTTTCTACACTTTTTATATTGAATACTTACTGGCGCGATGATTGCATTGATGAAGTTTCCTCTATTAGGTACAACAGACGAAAGATGCACGCTATATTTATCCACTGAAAAAAAAACAAAAGAATAAATTTTATGTCAAAATTTTCACATGAAGAATTTTTACATGTATGTTAATTTAAAAGGAAATAAGATAACATTTGATTAATAATTGAAATAACAAAAGAAAAAAAAAAACACTCGTCATACCTATAGTGCAGATTAATGAACGTTTCTCTTAGTAATTTGAGAAAGACCTTCCCATTGTTCTCAATAGCTTTGTAAAGAATCAAACATGCATATTGTAAACATACACTTACATGGCAATATACCGTTGAAATAAAGGTCACCACAGCTTTCTTTGGCTATCTTAAAGTCTGCGTCTTCGTATTTGGGTCGAATATTCATCAAACGCTTAATAAATAGATTAATAAAAATAAATTGAATACTCCATGTCTCATACTACGGGGTAAATTTTTTGTTAATTCTACCTTTTTTCATGCATAACATAAAAAAATAAGAGGGGGCAACGTTTATTACATTGTAAAACAAGAAGTCTTTTATTGCAATAAATCGGTTATTCTTCCCAAAAACTGAGCCCAAGGATGAAAGAAAACTGATGCTTAGCACATGACATGCCATACAATCGTAAAAAAGACCCCCTTCTTTAAAATTAAACATAATGACACTATTTTTAAAATTTCATTTTCTAGCCATATTGAACTGATACATGTACCTGAAACTCCTTTTGAAGTGCACTCTGATTAGCAACTTTGTCAGAGGTCAAAGTTTCAGCCTTTTTAGTGAATTCATTGACAGTGATGCATTTGACTTGGGATTTGAATATTTCGTTTAGAGCAAGAAAAATGGTCATATACTGTTCCTACAAAAAAATCAAAGATAAAATTTTAAAAAAATAATTAGAAGGTGTATCTTTTTTTAAGATAATGAAAATTCGTTTTAATTTTACATGCTATCCTGCAATAAAATCTATAAAATAAAATTTACACAAGCTACATTTTTTTTCAAATTATTTCAGTTCAAGCAATTTTGCTTGACAATTAATAAGACTTAATAGCTCAAGTCTTAGAAAATATACATGTGCATTCGCTAATTCGATATAGATATCGAGATATAATTCCTTTTTTGTTAAATATGTAATTATTAAAAAAAAAACTAATAGTGATACATGAAATAATAATAATAATAATATTAATAATAATAATAACGATAACAATAATATACAGTAGACGTATGTTGCCATTATTGAAATGCACTCTGAACCACTACTGAAATAATTATTTCAACAGTGGTCGTTATTTCAATAGTGGTTATAACAGACGTACTTTTTTTCCACGTGGGATTAATTTCCAATATGTACGCGAAACAATTCTTATGCGGAAATTTTTTCATAGCGTACCAAAGATTCATTAAGGACATATAATGACAATCCATGATATCCGTGTAATTTTATACTCGCGGATTGTATAGATATTTTATTTTCGCGGAATTATGAACCCGTGGAATGGAACACTTTTACAGTACACGAGCTTACATATGTTTGGACCATATTCATCCTGTTTTCTCTCATCTTCTTGACATATTCTGCTACGTTGACTTTCCCTGTCTTTCTTGCTTTTTTGTTTAGAACGTCTATTGCTATGTATGTCCCGGTCCTTCCAATTCCCGCGCTAAAGTAATAGAATTGATTAAAAGAAAAATAACTACATATGTACAGTGTTTCATTTATAGTGATACATTTGTATTAAGGCGTGTATCATTAATTTTTCTTTAACTATCCAACATTTAATTTACATATCTTTATTTTTTTTAATACAAATTACCTTTTTATGGTAGTTTCTTTTTAAAAAAAATTTAAGTGTTAATTATATACAATTTAAAAGTACACAACAAAACAATGAATAAAATGTCCCTTTTTAAAAAATACAAATTACCTTTTTATGACAGTTTTTTAAAAAATATTTTAAGTGTTAATTATATACTATTTAAAAGTACACAACAAAACAATAAATAAAAAAAAATCCTCTTTTTTTCGATTACCTGCAATGCACAACTGTTGGAGAGTGTTTCTGTTTGGACCCTGTCCTATTAACATGTTCAAGGAATATAACAAGACAAAGAGGATCCGGGGTTCCGTGATCTGGCCATGCTGTGTAATGGTATTGTGTCACGTGACGTTTGCTCTTCGTCTAAATTGATGTAAAGTATTTTCAATAAGTATTTTAAGTATGTATATACCACTGCGAATATATCATCTCGAGTGAAATACTGGCAACGTCAACATAATAGCTTGTTTTTAAAAAAAAAAAATAAAAAGGATTTATAGTTCAATGTTACATGGGTATTTCTCCAAGTTAACGGGTATAAACGCGTTGCTATTGTGACGTCAATCAACGCTGTTTTGACGTAGATCAGAATATGCCCCCCCCCCCCTTAAAAGGAGAAATAAAATCACATGCTCAGTACTTCGTGTTGGAAAGTTCAATTCTGATACAGAAAAAATATTTCTTTTAGGAACATTGATGTTTTATTTCACTGTTATATTTTAAAAATGGATTTTGTTTTTTTTATTTTCATATATTTGGTTAAGACTTTGGAATTTTGTAAAATCCTCATACTGCATTACATGTACCTGGTTGACAAAAGTATTACCTAAAGTTTTAGAAATATAATGCGTCAAGATGTGCTTTTAAAATTGTTTTGTTTCTCTTGACATCATATCTTATAAACTATTTTCTACCTTTCTCACAAAAAAACTCACCTCTTTATGAAATATTGTAAATTTTCGAATAATGTAGAATGCGTATTGATTTTCTTCCACCATCTTAACAGACAGATATCCGTCACTGATGTGTTTATTTGGCTCCGGCCAATACTGGGCACATTTTGTCTTTTCGTAAATAAATAAACCAAAAATTATTAAGGCATATATATTAATAAATACATTATTCTATTTCATTTACAAACACCATCCACTATATGAAAAAAGAGAAAACACTGCGTTTATAGTTGCCAAGTGCCGAATTTTAGAATATACGTTACTTTCGTCCCTTCCTTCAAATTGGTTAATATAACGATGTCTTGTACGTGCTCCTGCCAAATCATTGTCCAAAAATCAAGAACAGTGTTCTGTCTCGGTCCTTAAGATAATACATGAAAAATGATATTTTAATTATAAATTTATAAATGTGCTATTTTTTTTTTTTTTTACAATTTATGTACATATATTTACATTTGCAAATGTTTCCCTTTAGGCATGTATAACACTCATAACACTACTGAAAGCAATGCGTATCTGTAACTGTATACATACAGGTACGGGGTCAAGAGGTCATAGATGTGCGTACAGATAAACGTTCAACATAATTTCTCTGTGACGTCATGAAGGGTCGACTCGCGTTCAGTGGATTACATACATGTCCTTGGGTTTGAAAAATAACGCATCTCACGCGTTGAAAGTCACAATCAGGCAAATACAAAGTATGAATAAGTCACAAGTGTAAATATAAGTAATAAGATATCATTTTAAACATCTACAGGGCAATGAATACGGGTTGGTACGAGATTAAATTCATCATAAAGCCCTTATGGAATTTATTCTCGTGACCAACCCGTTTTTATAGCCCGATAGATGTTTTTAAATGACACCTTTTTTCTTAAGTAAGTAAGTTGTCAAATAATACGTGTACATATGTACAAATGTTTAATAATTCTGAAGTATTTACCTTGTGTAGCGATGTATTCCTTATCCTTTTCAGCACCCTGGGGTTAATCAAAATATATTGTTAATATTGGTACCCACAATAACATCAAATAGGTAAATCAATTATGTAGATATTTCATTGAACTTAAGCAAAATTGAAAACTCAGTAGGAAAAACTTAACACAACATACTAAATGCATTTACTAGTATTGCTATCTTTTTTCAGTCTTTATGCATAAAATATTTGTAAATTCATGTTTTTTTCTTTATCAAAGAATATAATATTTGCTTACCTCTATATAATTGGCATTTATATAATCTGATCCTGACTCTGAGTTTATTTTGACCCTTGAATGATCATCTGGATAAATGAAAACAATTTTAATTGATGTCTTCTGAACACATATTATATAAATACAGATAAGGTTTAAAGATAATGATTTTTAGTATATATCATACATTGTAACATCTCATTAAAAAATAAAGTACAAGGTTTCTTTTTAACGATATTAACAATGTAATTATTTTAAAAAAAGTTTTTTTATTTGCTAACACTTACAGGGAAAAGTTGTCCTAAATCTATTTTTAATCATATTTTCTTCAGTCTTTCCAGCATCACACTTGTATCTTTCCCCATATGGTAATGTCTGCAAGTATAGTAAATGTATATTTTAAAAAAGAAGACATGAGCAGGCCATCGTTGTATTAAACTTCAAGCGTTATCACCATCCATATCTATTGAACACTATATGTCTAAATCTACGCAAAAGTTATTATCTTCATACTTTAATGTTGATAGAATGACCGAGATGAATCTTTGGTTAATTATCATCAATAGGTCAATAATAAAAATTAAATTATTTGCATTTTTTAATTTTTTTTTGTGCGTGCTCACTGCATATTCTTTTTTAAAACCGTCATCTCCATTTTTTCTATTTTCAGCAATGACGGATTCAAGCTGATTTAAGGGTATCTCACGAATCATTGATTCATTTGCATAAAAATCCCCATATGGATTCTCTGAGTGCATTTTCTCATCGTCATCTACTTCCATTCCAGGATCATCACTCTTCTTCTGTTGTTTCGATCGTTTTTCATCATCTGTTTCTAGATATGTATTTTCACGGCTGAGGGGAGATACTGGTTTTGAATCAATGCTACCGAAATCCAACCCTAGCATTTTCTTATGAGCTGAAAGAAATAAATAAGCAATCATTTTGAGTGTCATAGATGTATGATATCGATTATTAAAAATAAAAGACTACACCAAGAAAAAAATAAAAATTTCCCACAACCACTTGCTCCTTTCTCTAGTTTACCTTTTCTTTTTGTTTTTCGTACACTGCCTCTAAAAATAAATAAACGACAATTGTGTGCATTGTATAAACAGTAATAAGAATGATTCTCCATATAATATGAAAATTGTACATATAAAATTTAGTAATTTTCATGAAAGGAACATTAAATCAGAATGATTCTCCATATAATATGAAAATTGTATATATAAAGTTTAATAATTTTCATGAAAGGAACATTATGAAAAACTTAAACCTGAAAATAACCTTTTAAAAACGACAACCACTATCACTGCAACTAAAATAGCCATGACCAATCCTGCAATCCCGCCAACGATCAACCCCATATTGTCATCATTTCTACCACCAGGTAAAGTATCCTGAAAAGTAAATTCACAGACATGAAAGTGCAATCAGCAAGTATTTTGCAATTCTCTTAGTTTTTAAGTTTTTTAAAAAGTGGCATTTGCATTAAAAATATTTGAATTGAAAGTAAATTGTATTACATTTGCTTCATCACAGTAACCATTAACTGGGTCACAAATGTTATCTATACAAGTTTCCCTGCATATGTCCATACACTGAAAACCATATTTCCCCGGACTACATTCTGAAAAAAAGTGAGTTTGCAATTGTTCACTTTTAATGCCTTTGCTTTGACAATGTTAAAACATACGAGTGTAATCTAAAAGAGATATGAACAGACGCAATGATAAACAGAGGGAATTAAGATGGAATGTTACAAGAATTAATCCCAAAATATTGCACTCCAAAGGAGTGTGAAATTTTAAGGAATCTCGGAGTAGTAGTGGCTGAAAATACTGCAGGAATTTGTAACGGAGAAAAAAAGAGACGGACACACAATCGTAAACAATAAAATACGCCTTTCTACGGAGCATGTGTAAAATGAAATCTAAAGTAAATGTAACCATAAGTAAAAATATAAACGCAATCAAAATCATGTCAATAAAACATAAAGATGCGCAAAAACAATAGTTTTCTCCTATTGAAGGACTTTATGTATGCAAAGATATTACTTCAAAGATATTAGTTCTGTCTGATTTTCACTTGGAAACAATATAATACAAGTATATTATTCATTTTTTCTTATAACACCTATTTCATAGTATTAGATGGGATCAGTTGCCATGGAGGAGTAAGCATCACCTGCCACCTGGTCAGACCTGCTTCTGCTCTTTTTCATGATCGAGATATAACAGAAAAATTCTTTATGAATTCAGTTAGACATTAGTATAAAAAAACGTCAGTAAGCATTTGACCCAATGATAATTTGTGTATGCTCACAAGATCTTTTATCGACAAAAGAACTTATAAAATGATGACTTTAAACGATACTAATAAACATTGTTTCAACAACTTGTCGTTTGACTTACCTTTATATAAAAATTCATTATTTTAACATTTTTTAAAAACATACTTGTTGTGCAGTTAAGATCTATATATCCATTGCTACATCCATATGGGCATGTTCCGTTAATATGATTACACGTTGTGTTCAGACAATGACCACATGATAATCTGCAGTCAGGACCATACGTGCTCTCTCTGCACTCTACAAAAAAAAATTTAAAAATATGAAGAGGTAACCGATAAAATTCTTGGAAATTATTTCCATATATTTCAGATTTCTTTGCATTTTCAGATATGGCAAAACATGGGGGGAAATAAAAAAAAAAATATGTATCACCATTAAACTGTATTCTAGCAAAATTTTAAGACCTTCATTTATAGTAATTTTAATGATTATTTTATTTAAATATTCATCTCATTAATGTCTTTATTTTTATTAATTACAATAAGTAACTTAAATCATTTTTATCATTCACATGACCATTTGAAAGTTCATCTCTATCTGGTCATTGTATAAGGGGAAATAAACGTAATTGTATAGGAACTGATAAGAGGAAATCATACCGTTTTTACATTGAAGTCCCTTCCAGCCTGGTTGACATCCACCCCCACACTCTCCTGTTGTTCCGTTGCATTCATACGGAACACCACATTTGTCATGACAATTTTCTTTACAATTAATGCCGAATTTTCCATTTGAACAACCTTTAATTACATTATTTTTATCATCATTTTATTTTATTTATTTATTTCTAAAACTTTCAACATTGAAGAAATAAGCTCTGTCGAAAAAATTACTTTCATATCCTTGCATTTTTGTGAAATGTATTAAAAGCATCTATATTGTTTTTAAAAATTGTGTTTTATCAATCATACCAGTTGTGCAATTATCTCCTTCAAATCCTGCATCACACCCATCAAGACAGGATCCATTGATGTGATGACATTGTTTATATTCCAGACAAGCTCCACATTTCTGTCCACAATCCTGTCCATATCTTCCATCGTCACACGCTATTTATGATAGTGTCACAAGTTGTTTAAGAGAAGTTATACATGATCTGTCACAAATCAACTGCTTATGTGCCAAAAGAAGTAAATTAATATCTGACATGTTTTGTAAATGATCTATACGAGTAAAAACAATTTCAAAATATCGAAAATGATAATATTTCGAGAAAAAAAAAAACTATAAGATTAAACAAAAAGACTTTTTATTCAAACTTTGGTTACATTTTCAAAAAAAATATCCTAGAGCATTTAAGAAAGAAATTTGAGACAAAAATGGACAACATAAATTTAGTAATTAAAACCAATTTGAAAAAAATAAAAAAAAATGTATGTATTTATTAAATAATATTGTATTGAAAGAGAACGTTTTAATGTTCAAAGTTAAAAAGAAACTATAAAAATATCTTGAACAAAGAATTTGTGGGGTTTTTTTTAAAGATAGAAGAACATAACAATGCACATTATTTATACACTGTCAGGTATTTTTTCTGTTCTAGGTATTAAATACAAGCATTGTTTGAGCTACCTGCTATGAATGTGAAGACAAATAAGATGTCTACGCATCACAAGTGCTAACATAAATTAAGTATAATTTGTAGATATGTACGTGTGTATGTTTTACATTAAAACAATAAGCTTTGAGAAGAAACTGAAAAGAAAATACTATTTGTTTGTATAATTACATATTTGAATAATAAATGTTTTTATTATACGAAAGAAAGAAGTATTACCATTTTTGCAAAAGAGTCCTTTCCATCCAGGTTTACAGGGAGATATACATTGTCCCGTGAATCTGTCACATTCATCACAATTTCTACACTTCTCAGAACAGTTATTTCCATGCCAACCAACTGGACATGCTGAAAATAGTTCATATTTAGCGAAATAATTTGAATTCTGAAAAATGTGGACTATTTTGTTCTAACGCTTTTCATTATGTCATTACTAAAAAATAAAGTTAAGTTGTCTATATCTGCTATAAAAACTATTGCAATAACGAAAAGCAAAAAACAGGGTTTGTTTGGTAGGGAAAAGGACTTCTTAATTATGTTATTAAAATCATGATTTTTATATATTTATTTTTGTTTTGTGTAAGAAATCATAGGTACATGAGATACATTATAAAAAGTAATTCTTATTGCAAATCTTATGAAATCCTTGACAAAGCACACAATTTAATTTTCTTTTTTTTATTTTATTCTTTGAAAAGAAACATAAATTTGTATATAAAGTAAAACACTTAAAAAAGTATGCGTTCTGCTCATATCTTGAACCAGCGTTAAACTGTAAACTTGTAGTAGGGTACATTTTAAGTCTCTAAAATAATGGTTTAAAAACATATAAATCTTAATGTACGCTATGCAAAATTACGTATGTCAAATCAAAATACTTATGAAAATCAGACTTTTACGAATATAGTCAGCTATAGTTACTTTCTCCTGAGAAAACGAACAAGCTATCTTTTAAACAATAATTAACAACCGAGTGAAAATGATGTTTGAAAACAACTAAATTAATGTTGTAATTTATTATATTACGTGTTTGACATTTGTCTCCATAAACCCCGACGTCACATCCGTCTGTACAGCTTCCGTTGACATGGTTACAAGTCACTCCGTTAGTACAGTTACCGCAATTCCCTGAGCAGTTAACTCCGTAAAACTGAGCACTACAAACTGAATTTACATTTGTTTATAAGCAAAATACCATATTCATGAATGACTTATCAAGTTCATACCATCGAGTATCAAAAAAAAAAAAAAAAAAAAAACGCTTCAGTATGATAAATATTTTTTTTCAACTGCACTGTATTAATGCAACAGTTAAGTTTTTTATTTGCAGGATGATTGGATGATGCAGTTTTTTTTTAACTATTTATATGTATAACCTTTTCCAATTCAGATAATTACATTTGTATGAAAAGAACATGTATACACAATAAAGTTTTTTTAAAGGAAATAAGGTATCATTTTTTGAGTTTTAATGGGATTTAAAAGGGTTTGGTCACGTGATCAAAACCCATAAAGCTAGAAGACTTTATGGGAGATTTGATCATGTGCCAAACTGTTACCATATTATATTTACATTTGTGGCTTATTCATACTTTAATATTGCCTGATTGTAACTTTTAACGTGTGAAATGTATTATTTTTCAAACCTTATGGTATGTATGTAATCTACTGAAAGCATGTCGACCCATTATGACCTCACTGAGAAATTACGTCGAAAGTTTATCCATACGCACATAAATAACCCCTTGACCCCGTACTTGTATTTAAACAGTTATATTGATTGATTGATTGTATATTTTACGTTCCTCTCGAGAATTTTTAATTCATATGGAGACGTCACCGTATGCCGGTGAAGGGCTTCAAATTTTGACCTTTACTCGGCACTCAGGGCCATTGAGCAGTGAGGGATCTTTATTGTGCCAACGTCTGCCGCTGACACGGGGCCTCGGTTTTTAAGGTCTCATCCGAAGGACCTGCAACTTTCACTTCAAAGTGCCGAGCGCATGGCGAAGGGATAGTTGCTACCAATTTGAACGACTAGGTCAGTCGGGGCCCAGATACGAACTCGCGACCTCTCGATCACGGAGCGAGCACTCTACCGACTGAGCTACGTGAACGGTTATACAGTTATAATTACGCTTGCTTTCAGTAGTGTTATATAAAGTAAAACATTTGCAAATCTCAGCTATGTTAAGGACCGATATGGAAAATGTGACCTGTGCATCGGTTTAATATGTATTACTTCTTTTTAAAAATTGCAACAAAGCAACTTAATACTTGTAGAATATGTAATATTGCTATCAACAATGGATAGAACTCCGCCGTAGTTATCACCAGTTATATCGCACGTATCAGCTGTTTGTCATGTGACTTGTATAAAAATAGAATTGTTTAGCTGAATGTAGGAAATGGGGATAGTGTAAAGGCATATGCTTGTTTTTCAAGAAAAAAATTGCTACACATTAAATTAGGTTTACTTCCTCTACCCAAAAAGTGCTAGGAGCTAGTCAGTGCTTTTTGCGAAGTATTTAAAATGTTGCCGAAAATGCTTATAATAGCTAAAAATTTCCATTTCGCTTAAATTCTGTTATAAATAAAATTAATGTTATGCAGACCAGGTTCAGTTCTCAGCACTTTTCAAGATATACACTATATAAGAAATAAATATTCCAAATTTTAGCTCAAAAAAATAGTCTATGCCCTTGCACTTTTGATATAAATCACGAATACGCCTATCGTGTTAGCGATATTCTATACATTCGTTGTCCCTGTGCAGCTTCAATGCTACTACTAGAGATAAATTCATATTCTGTACAAATTATATATTTTTCTTTTAGTTTTAATGATTAGGTCTAAAAAATAGCAAGGATAAAAATTTTATTCAAACATTTTTGTAATTATTAAACCATTGAATCTAGTCCTCTGGATCACCTGTGCTGCGCATGTCAAGGCTGATGACGTCATATTTGACGAAAGGCTTTTTTCTATTACTCGACTGTATTGCTATCAAGTATTGCATTTTTACAAGATTTTATAAATAATCAATAAAATAAATAAATTCAAGTAGTTATTTACGCATGATCATGTCGTTAATTAATTTTTGTGGCTTGTTAAATTTCAATGACGTCACAATTAAACTTTCAATACGAAGTACAAGGAATGTGAACTCTGACCTTCCTTAACATAGCTGAGATGTAAATATTATCAGTTGAATTTAAAAGTAATCAAGTAAGCAACGTTTACAGGAAATTTATATGGGTTCATGTCTAGCTAATAATTCGTTACATATAAAAAGGTCGAAAAAAATAATTGCATTTGAAATGAACATACTCAAGGAACCAAAGTGTATAGAAACTTTAATATATGGGTTGATGTCTAAATATTAGGTTTTGTTACATGGAAAACAGGTCGAAAAAAATAATTGTTGTTTACATGCTAAATGTTTTCATTGAAAGAGAATTACAAATGACTGGTAATGCTTTTTTTACAAGGCCAATTCTAACTGTTTCCACCCTTGGGATTTTGATAATTATTCGTCAGTTAATTTTTACGATTGTATTTATTGTTTGAAGGTTAAAAATCTAGTGTTTACTACCCTGATTTCGTAGGGAACTGTCTCAAATGTTGTCAAATTTAACTATTGGACCCAATAGGAATTTTTGGGAATCGCGCCAAATTATACCATTTTCCACTTTTTTGTATTTCTACCCTAGAGATTTCTTATTCAGTCAGTACATAAAAAAACATAATAAAAATGCACCAAATTGTGAAATTTCAGGAAAAAAAATGACCATTTAGGTTGGTGTAGATCTTAATTACAAAGTTATTTTTTGCTATGAACAATACCTGTAAAATTGCAATATTGCGGTATAAATACATATCGTTAACAATTAGCTATATTTAGATTGCTAGTATGTTTCTTTTGAAGTTATGTCTTCAGTTTCAGTATAATATCCATGGACGTCTACGCACATATAAGCTAGTTCTGTACCATTCTTCAGCGTCGTTCATTGCTTACAAAATCGGAAAACACTGACGTCGTTAAAGCCATTTCAGTTTTCCCCCGTAATTATTGTCATAAAATCACATTTTCAGACCAGTAGGTATAACAAATGATGTTAATTCTATATTAAAATCACAATATTTTGGAAAGGTACACTGTGGCATTGATGACTGCAAGAAAATAAAAAAAACGGCACAAAGTCATATGCACTCGAATTAGACTCGGCCTCGTTAAAACATATTGACAGGCATATAATTTGATTTATTGACTAGCTAGAAAATTTTCCCAAAGTTATTATTGATTTATTGACCGATAAGCAGAATTTTTTTTTAGTTTTATTATGATACCATAAGATTCAATTTGAAAAGGGGCAATTTAAAATACCGGATTAAAGAAACACGGCAATGTGAAAATGTTACAAGTTCTTTCATTATTTTATATTTACATCTGAGGCACAAACCGACTGATTTGTTGAATGTATCAACTAAAATAGTTGTGTTGTCTCTTGGGATAAAAAAAGGATTTTTAAAGGTAGCATTTGGGGGAAAAAACTACCTGTACGACTAGGCATTTTTATCAGTTCTGCCCTTAAATCATTTCAGTTTTTTTATATGTCATAGGCATATTATTTTAGCTTAAAAAGAATGACTTAAAATATGTGCTTTATTGATACATTTTTAAACATCACGATTGTAGAAGTGTGAGAAAGAATTGTATCACTGTTGCGGAGGTTTTTCTTTGAATATCACTGTGTTTTTGATTTAATTTGGTACAGCATGGCTAAGATCTAATAACCATGCTCTATCAAGATAGAGCTCACCAGGGGGATGAAGCAACAATTCTAACTACGCAGCACAGTTAAGGTTACAAAAAGGAGGCGGAGCCAAATTTGTACGGGAAAACTTAACTATGACATCATACACAATATACGTCATACAACATTTCTTTAAAAATACCACAAAATGAGTTTATCTGTTAATTTATCCAGTAAGAAATCATCAAACTACTTAGTAAAGCGTTTTGTTTTGTCGTTAGTTAAATCCCGCATAACAAGCTATAATCAAGTCACTGATCACAAAACACTTGTCAATATGACGTCATTTCTTGCAGCGTGACGTAGTTTGTATGCAGTGAGAGACAGATTATGTAATATTTTCTTAACAAAATATGTATTCTCTAATTAAATAAAATATTATTTACAGATATTCCATGGGCCAAAAACTTGGATTTAATGTCTTCTTCAGTATTTTATTAATATATTTTCTGTACATTACGTATTTAATTGACACTGTCGTATATTTGTATCCAAGTGCATCGGAGGGTAATGTGGGGGGTCTTAATAAATCGATCTAGTGCAAGGGCATACACTCTATGGATCAAATTAAGCTTTTATATTTCAACTATAAAACTATTAAAGTATTTGAAAAGTGCTGCGATCCTGATGATATCTTAAAAAACAATTTAATTATATCAATATTTCGTGCCGCCGACCAGCAAAAAATACAGCATTCGGTCATACAAGTTTAATTCTAACAATGAAAGTGCAGAATTTAGACAGAATCGCAGCACTTTTTAGAAACTACAATGCGTGTTGAAAATATTTATATACTTAACTTGGAAATTTAACTTGGTTATGCCCTTGCATTAGTGATGTTTATATGTAACATCAATACTTCAAGTCAATGTGCTAAAATCGCGTGACTGCCGCATCACGTGATTAATCTAAATAAAAAATATAATCGTCCTCGATATTTAGTTATTAATCATAATTACCATTTTCCGATATAAATAATGTACTAAAAATAATCGCCATCCCGATTACGAATACATTTTTAAATACAATATTTAGTCAATATTTCCATTGCGCACCTTAACTGTACTGCGTATGACTCATGATCTTACACTGGATAACTAAAAAAAGATATAAATAAAGTAACCAACCTATAGGCAAAACACAAAATAATGTAAACATAGTGAAGTTAACTCTTTCCCATTTTTTTTTATTTTACACGTCAAATTCTTAATCCAAAATGAAGTCACGCAGTACATTTTTAAATAAATGTTTTTGACTCTCATAAACTTGAAACGTAACAAACGACACACGATATATTACTTGAATCGAGGTGGATATTCCGAGCCGGCTTTTTTGAGCACGTGCCCCTTTTTCATAGGTCATACATGTATAAAATTACATGATGAAATTTAGATCGATTGATTGATTGTATATTGTTTAACGTCCCTCTCAAGAATTTTTCACCCCTATGGAGACATCACCGTATACCGGTGAAGGACTTAAAATTTTGACTCGGCACTAAGGGAAATGGAGCAGTGAGGGATCTTTATCGTGCCAACGCCTGCCGCTGAAACGGGGCCTCGGTTTTTAAGGTCTCATCCGAAGGACCCGAAACTTTAACTTCAAATTTTGAAAGATCATGGCTAACTCATGATCAGTGCGTGAGAATACAGTTGAAGTACGTGCTATTAACGTAAAAGTGATTTATCATATATAACTCAGTTCCTGGGAACAATGAAACAAAACATACATAGTACCTTTTAACACGTGTATTTTCAGATATCAGGTACGGGGGACAAGCTCCCCCGTCTGATATTGTTAAAAGGTACTCTATATATTACTTACCGTCAGTACAAAATGCTCCCTCCCATCCAGGTTTACAGGGAGATATACATTGTCCCGTGAATCTGTCACATTCATCACAATTTCTACACTTCTCAGAACAGTTATTTCCATGCCAACCAACTGGGCATGCTATCAAAATATATTTAGGTAATCATTTATCATGGACACAAGTAAAATAATATCATTGTGTATATAAAGAAATTATTGTAAGCTAATAAAATGTAACTTGTATAAAAATATGTACAGGTAATACTAAATATAGCGAGTACCTCGCAGTTATCTAACTTTCTACTCTCGTTTGAGTGTGTGGGTGTGTGTGTGTGTTGGGGGGGGGGGGAGGGGGGGTCAAAAAAGCTCTAAATCTTGCTGGGCACATGACATTGTTGACAATCGAATGATTCGAACAATTTTATGCCAAAAGTACAGAGTATTACCAAGGACTGAACAACTGCAAATAGTTGATTGTCAAATAAAAACAGTTTTAAAAATGTTATCAACTTGAAATGTGACGATTTTCAATGAAAATTGAATGAGAAGAATCCGCTCATTCGCAAATATCGAAAATCATATAGCATATTAGGGTTGACTTCTCTCACAAATTAATAAGAGTAGTTCAGCGATTGTTTAGCAAAATATTCTAGAAGGTTTTTTTTTATTTATCTATTCTCATCTGTCCTTATAAATTCTACAATGATAGATCTTGTATTGTATTCAATATAACATTTGTCCCCATCCAACAGAAATTTTCTTCCTTCATTGTGAAAGAGTTCTGCTAACATATGTAATCGCTTTATCAATTATTGAGCATTCAAAATTTAAAAAAAGAGATGATTAGCTTTTTTTCATTTGCTCCAGGTAAATGAAAAGAACAATTTGTTGTTAAGAAAGAAGCTTGCTGAATCCTCTAGAAAAATTAAGCTACAAATAGGTTCTGTAAGAATCGAAAGGTATTCGACAATTTCCCTACTTAAGTGAAAATCAAAACAAACTTACGTGTTTGACATTTATCTCCATAAACCCCGTCGTCACATCCGTTTGGACAACTTCCGTTCACATGGTTACAAGTCACTCCGTTACTACAGTTACCGCATTTCAGAGAGCAAATTTCACCATAAAACTGTGAGCTACAAGCTGTGAAATTTACAGTAAAAAAATGATAAATTATATTTGCTGACAAGATCATTGTATCGACCATAGAACTTTCGAAATGATGACTTTAAACGAGACTTCTGACATTCTTGTTTCATCAACTTGCTTGTCAATAATTTACCTCGTTTAAGAAATTGTTCATACGTAGAGCATCCTGATAAGAAAGGAGGTAAAAGTGAAAAAGTAGTAGTAAATTGTATATTCGAAAATGCGAATGTCATACATGTAATACGCTACGTCAAAATAATTTTATTTTAATTCTCTGATCATTTTGCATCAGGAATAAAAAAAATAAGGGGTTATTAATGAAATCGTTGACACATTAATAAAGGAGTACCAATCATAAAGGCTTTTAAAATTGTTGTTTCATTTTATTATATTTCCCTCTCTTTTTCAAGGGTATCTATTTCTCGCCCTTTTTATCAATCATCTCTGATGATTTGTATTAAAAAAATTGTTCCTCTAACCACTTTCTGTATATTATTATGATGTTATTTAAACCGCAGTTGTCATTTGTTTAGTTTGGATGTATGAAATACATGTACACTTGAAGTTGTGAATTTTTAACAGAATGAAAAATAAAAATTTTAATTTCATAGTTATGTGTAAAGATATGAAATATTCTTTCTTTAACTTACGTAATTCACACTGATGTCCTTGATACCCAGGTTTACACCCCTGACAAGCACCTGTCTCTATGTGACAATAACGACAGTTTGTATCTGGACAGGGGATAGAACAGTCTGATCCATACACTCCTGTTTTGCTACAACCTAGAGTTTAAAATGTTTTTATTGCTTTAAGGTAGGATTCTTCTCATATTTCTTGTATTTAAAAATTAATGAAATTTTCAAAGAATCAAGAGGACAATATCACTAAGTGATGGTATCAGTGATATTATATTTGACCGTTTAATATTAGAGGCAAGGTCAGGTCAAGGTCATTACCTTTTGCCTGGACATTAAGAATAAAAAAAATAATGTTTCCAATCATGCGACCCCTACTTGTAATTCAAATCATTGAATGTTTTTTTCTTTTTGCATAAAAAGATATTACCATATAGGGCCTATAAGACGATATTACCAAGACGAAATTGACATGGATACTTTAAATAGAATGGATATTTGTCAATCCGAATTTCCTCTACATTTCTTAATTTTTTAGGAATTATTAGGTATTTTTATATGCTTCCTATATTTAACTTTTTCCAATTTTCACATATAGTAAAGTTGTCACATAAAGGTACAAAATGATACAAAAACTTAAAGTTTTGATCGTTTACTAAGAAAGATATAACACTTTTTACGGATTTTTGGATCAAATCAGTACTTAGATTTGAAGCATTTAAAAGCCAACATATTTCTAGTATATGTGAAAAATAGTATTTATTTGATATATTTTGAAACTTTAGTCTCTTATTATGAGCATCGTCGGATAGAAATCGACCTTATGGCAAAATTTATCGAATTTGAGATTTTTGTGTATTTTAGTGGTCCATGTAAAATCAGGACAAAAACTGAAAACAGAATAAAAAAATCTGCATTTATAAAAAAAGTTATTACATTTTTGAATTGGTATGTCTGCAAAATTAACTCTGAGCATGTATCGTAGTTTTTTCACGATTCAATTGTGACGTCATGGTTTATTTTCAGATGAAGTTGGGGCACCTGTCATAGCTTAGCAATCCAAGTTGTCATCCTGTCTGAGTCAAACAAAATGCTTAATTAATGACAAAAAATAGTTGATCATAATCTACAATCCCCAAAACTGTGTTAACTGTATTTAAGATCCTTTAAAAATCGAATACCCCCCCCCCCCCCAAAAAAAAAAAAGATTTTTGATTTCTACTTTTCTGTCTTTCATACCGACAAATTCGTCTCTATGAACAACTGAACTTTCAATTAATATAGATCTACATGTATGCTGATTTTTCGTTTGATAAAGCCTGTATCCTCAAAGCATGCAAGTTGGTTAACACACTTTGTTTGATTTTACGTAATCCCCATTTAAAGGAAAAAGAAACCAATGCGATCGAGTCCAAATTTAGAGGGGGTCGATCTCAGAAATATCTCGTTTCTTACAGAAAATACATGAACCATGCAGCCAATAAAATCACAACTAAAATCATGCTACGATAATTATTCTTAAGTTAAATTGAAAAAAAAAATCACATCAATTTGTATTTAATGATAACATGAAATCAAACATGCATGGTGTGATACGTAGCCTTGTCTCAAAGTTGGCTCATTTTATTAGGATTTTTTTCATAAAACTGTTTCTACTGCAGCCACATTCTACTGTGCCTTCATTATAACCCCCCCCCCCCCCACTTCCCAATAAAACCCGTTCGTAAAAACCGGTTCATTTTTTTAAATCAAATTTCTATTACCCATCATTGTACAAAATATGTAAAATTAATAGAATATCATTTTAAGCAGTATACAGATCATTGATGGATTGATTTTTGCTTAACGCCGAGTCGGCAAGATTTCAGCCATTATCGGCGGGTAATCTATATCTGTTGCATGCAAAATACATGGACATAAAGTTGCAAACCTTGACATAGGGAACTATTTAACCTTCCATCTGACGGTAATTAAAAAGAAATTATGTAAACCATTTAAAAAGATTTCTGACTATGTTCATCAACAAAATATCTCATAATGTACCAAACATAACCTTAAACATCAATTTGATGTAAATAATCTAAAATTCTCTTAAACGTAATATTGTAAAATAAAATAACAATTATGCATCATTCCTACATTATACTTCGCATAAGAGAAAAGCCAGCTAATTTTAAAAGATTATCATTCATATTTACATGTAGCGAAAAGTCACGAGAAACATGTATACATATTGGCCGAAATTCTCCATTCAATAAATATGCATGCATTATTTTTGGACGATTTGTGCGTATTCTTTAAATAATCGCTTCATTCTGACGTTTTAGGCGGAAGTCGGATGTTTTTTTTTTATGGCATATAGTTTAACATCATCGGATACCCAAGGGTGATCTCATTTTTTCTCATCACCGGGTGATAACAATACATTTGAAAAAAGAGAATTTACATAAAGTTTACAAAATATCTTAGATCAACAGAAAAAAATGAAGAGATTAATATGAACTTCAGAAATGCAAAAATTATAACTTCTTCGTTAACCGGAGTATTAGAAATTTATTGAGGGAAAGAAAAACAAAAACACAGGCTATGTTGAATTACGATATAAAACCATGTGGCAAATTTTCTTTCTTTTATAATTAAATTACTGCAAACGAAGTAAATGTTTAAAAAACAATTGATTACGTAGACTGTATTGAGTATTTCTTAATAATCAATTTATAATTAGGAAATGCTGTTAAACCAGTTAAATGGGATAATTAATACTATGAAATAGATAATTGGATTCAGCTAGGGTGCGTAGGATTCTAAAATAAATTACTGTAGAAGTGCTTTTTTCCGCGTGGTATTAATTTACGCTATGTATGCGGTCACAAATTTTCCGCGGAAATTTGTCCAAGCGTACTTAATATAAATGTAAGGCATATAGCGACAATCTAGAAAATCCGCGAGATTCCGCGGAATTATGACTCCGTGGAAAAAAGTACGTCTATAGTATATCATGTTTAGTCAAGAAGGAAGCCTTATACATTTATATGTGCTGACTTTAGAAGCCCCCCCCCCCCCCCCCCCCCCCCCCCCCCCAAAAAAAAAGGGAAAAATACATTAACTCTCCTCTCTAGAGAAAAAATAATATTTATGAAGGAACTCATAGGCAACATTCTGCTATCCCGTTCATAACCCTGTCCGACACAACGTAAAATAGACATTTCATAATTAATAGCATGTGTTTTCTGATTTTCTTTTAAATAAAAAAAAAATATTTGAGATTTATAAATTACATGTATCAGTTGTGGGTATCCCCCTCTCTTGAAAAAGAGAATTGTATAAGAATTTTATAATGTAGAGAACTTTTTGATGTTATAATTGAAAGTCCTTGTACAAAGCGAAACCATCTTGTATATACCTGTTATTCACGAATCACGAACACGTGAAATCCTGCTCATTTCAGGATTTTTTTTTAGCAGAAAAGTTTGGTGTTAACGGGCTCAAAATACTTAATATGAAGGTGAATATTTAGGGATTCATTTCACAAAGCTTTTTTTTTATATTCGACTTTAAAGTATTTTTTTTTTTTTTTTTTTTTTTTTAAAATTATTTAAAATATTAATGACGTAGAAGAATATGTTTCACAAACCGGGCCCATCTTGTTTTTTAAATTTATACAAAATTTTATTCAAGCAAAGTGAATGCCATCGGGTAGCAGGCAAATCCCATTTTAGCCCTCTCCCTACAAAGTCAAGATGATACACACAATATATAGGTATAAAATGGCCGCCCCTCTTTGAACAGTTTCGCAAGCCAAGTAAAAGAAAACTAAAATCATAGATAATCCATTGTCGGTATATTTTATAAACTAATCTTGCAAAATTTAAGAAAATAAACTGATAAACTGTAAGAAATGGAAAAGAGACAAAAGAAAAAAAAAACTTTTTTTAGGAAATGCTTCCCCCATGTTGAGCCTCTTATTGAGTCAAAGGGAAGCAACTTGCGCAATTTATGGAATCCAGTCGCCTCGGACAATTAAAGTACTTCTCAGATAAATTCTACGTGTTTCCGTTTGAGGCTTACTGATATATGAAGAAATTGCCTTACACAGTACCAGAATTACTTATTTCCTGATAATTCTTTGAATATTGTTGTTAGAAAAATGCGTTTTGAAAATTGATGAATCTTGGCCTTTATATATCTTCTACTGGGAATGGCCTAATGTTGTTTTTGTTTTGGTTCGGTTAATTCCTATATAACTTTGACATAATCATTACACGTAAATTAATTCGAAGACATGAAACATATAGTATATCTAATATAATATTGTGAATATATTAATCTTGAATGAATGAATACGCATGGTGATAGTAAATGAAGTTCACACACTAGTACTGCATCTGTACATGTGCGATTTTCTGTGTCAGATACGCCTCCTTTGGCTAAAATTTATACTCTGAACTACAATAAAAGATATATTCTGTACTCCCTCAGTAATGCACCAAGCCAATTTTGCTTTGCTATTTGTCTACCAACTTAATCTTTATCTGATGTTAAATAAAACCTCACGTCTTCTGCTGTTTGAAAAAAAAATATGTAGATCGGACTCGGCATTCTTCTGGCCTGTGTTTACATTGATCCATGGTAACGATGACGAAGTTAAGGCTCTACGAAGGGAAATACATTTAAAATTTGCTTATTTAATTAGTACATATTTAAAATGATCCGATTTTTAAAGACAAAAATCTGTGAACTGCAGTTAACGATGTCTAAAACATTTCCTAACGTGAAAACCATGTGTAGTAAAAATACCGGGAAATCTTTCTTAACTTTATTCGTTTATTTCTCATTATGACGTTGCATACGATAAGGTCGATTTCTATCCGACGAGGCTCTTATTAATTTAACTTACATTTGAAAATTTCGTCTAGTTCTTTGATTGCGTAAAAATTATAACTAAATTCAATGTTCTGTAATAATTTCGAAAAGGCAGAAAAGAAGATATTTTCATACGCCACCATTCCGCCAAAAATATAATCCCTGCTAGTTTTCAAACAAAGTTTACCATTTCTATTTAAAGTTGTATAATTGTGATGAGGAAAGAAAAATATGGTCTTTTATACCTCTTACATCTAAATGTATAAGACATATCAACAAATGTA